TCAACGTACTTTTCATTGTTATCCATTTTCTATTACCAAACATCACAACGTCCACCAGCTCCATTGCTTACTTTGCTTACTGGCGAGGATGATCGTTCTACAGCTTTTCGTACCAGCATTCGAGCATACAATTGAGCATTTGCGTTCGCATCAATTGGTGCTCAGGTATTTATTACATCTTTTTCTTCCATTGTATGTTGTATTTACATCTAAAATTTCCTTTCCTTGGCAAAATAGGTTGATGATGAGCTTGCAAACGCAAGATCAGGTGTCTATACGTTTCGTGTAAATGGGGTTATTCACCACTCTATCGCCAGCTCGATGCTTCCTGGTCAACGTGATCCTGGATTCGCGCAAATTTATATCTGTGATCCAGATGAGCAAGTCAACATACGCAGCTCATTGAACGGTGGCCTTGATCAGGATATCACACGGCAGCTTCAAGAGATGTTGTTCACTGAAAACCCTCTTGCTCGCATATACAGACGCGCTGCTGACATGTTGCAAAACGAGCCTGATAATAATTTCAGCATCACTTTTCATTCGGATCGATCTTCATCCCGTGGCCATCGTGGTCAATTCTTACGCCCCGCAAAAGGAGAAATTGCTGCTGTTGTTCCTATTTCCTCTTCCAACATCACCCCTTATCGCGACGTCGTTATTCACCGCCAACACCATGGGCTTCTCCGCATTGATGAATTGCATCCTCTTTATGACCCTTTGCACTATGTTCTCATGTTCCCACGAGGTGAGCAAGGTTGGTGTGCACCCACACAAGGTATGCTTATTATACAGCTATCTTCCATGTCTTGGTACGTTTGGCTCATCACCGCCTGTCGACAACATTTATAATAGGCCGCTCAACAAGAAGACAACAAGAGAACAATCCCGATGACGAAAGTAACGGCACAATTACTGCTATGCGCTTTTATGCATACATGTTGCAAGATCGCGAAAACCATTACATGGTTTACTATGGTCGCCTATTCCATCAATACGCCGTGGACATGTATATCAAGGTTGAGCAGCAGCGTCTTCGGTATATTGAAAAAAACCAAAAGAAGTATCGTTCGGAGGCATTACAAGGTGTGATCGATGCAATGGGCAACGAGACCTCAAGAGACATTGGTAGCCATATTATCCTTCCTCCCAGTTTCACTGGTGGTCCACGTGACATGCAATCACGATACCAAGATGCCATGGCCATTGTTCGTGAGCTTGGTGAACCTGATCTCTTTATCACATTTACATGCAACCCAAGATGGCCTGAAATTACTTCCGCTCTTAAACCTGGCCAAGTTGCTGCCGATCGCCCTGACTTGACAAATCGAGTCTTTAAGCTCAAAGTAAGACTTTTGTACATCATTGTTGTATGTATTACTACTCTTTGCTCATCAACCATACCTATTTTCAAACAATCCTATATGCATTAGTGCGACCTGCTTATGAAAGATTTGACGACCAACCATGTCTTAGGTGAGACAATTGCTCACTTCAGGGTGATTGAATTCCAGAAACCAGGCCTTCCCCATGCGCATATACTTCTCACCTTGGATCCCAATTGCAGACCACGTCGCCCACGTGACTATGATCAAATCGTTTCGGCTGAGATACCGGACCCAGAGTTACATCCCGCAGCATACGAAACGGTTACACGTTTAATGATGCATGGACCTTGCGGTGAAGCTTTCCCTCAAGCACCATGTATGGTGAATGGTCGTTGCAGCAAAGGCTACCCACATGATTTCATTGAAGAGACAACGGATGCCACATCTGGATATCCCAGCTACAGGAGACCCAACAATGGCAGGCGTTATCGCATCTCAGCTTCCGTATCCCTTGACAACCGTTGGGTGGTACCACATAACGTGGTCTTATGTACCAAGTATAATGCCCATATCAATGTCGAGATTTGTTCCTCTGTTAATGCTGTAAAGTACCTCTACAAGTATGTCTACAAAGGCCACGATCGCGCGTTGATCTCCATGCGTCGAAATACCAGGCAACAGCATGAGCAGCAACAACAAGACGCCGTCATCAATGAGATCCAGCAATATACCGATACCCGTTATGTCTCAGCCTCAGAAGCTTTATGGCGTCTATTTTCTTTCAGCCTCTTTCAGCGCTCTCCTTCTGTGCAGTTGCTCTTGCTGCATTTACCAAATCAGCAAGCAGTATACTACAATGAAAGTGACGACCTTCAAACAGTCGTTCAACGTACTATGGATCGACCAACCACTTTGCTTGCTTTTTTCGATCTTAATCGGTAGGTTTTATGTTTGTCTTTATGCATGCAAATGTCATCTATATTTATCCACAATACTCACTAATCATCATCATCATTCTGTAGACGTGATCCCAATGCACGCCAGTATTGTTATCCTGAAATACCCCTCCACTACATTTGGAAACTGATACCTTGCCATACCATTGGGCACCACGCCAAAGAGGTCACACTATCGGTAGAATGCCATTTGTATCGCCACGTGATCCTGAACGTTTTGCTTTGCGTGTGTTGCTTCATAAGGTTCCAGGTCCTCGAAGCTTTGAAGACTTACGCAGAGTACATGGCCACCTATACAATACCTTTGTGGATGCTGCCAAGGCACGTGGTCTTTTGGAGGATGATGATGAGTACCGCCATTGCTTGCAAGAAGCCATTGGACACTTTACATCAGCTCACCAGCTACGTCAACTTTTTGTCACCATCTTGACATTTGGCAACCCTCTTAATCCTCGGGAATTGTGGGAACAACACTCCGCAAGTTTGTGTGACGATTACCAATGGCGTTACATTGCCAATGACATGGAAGTTGACATGGACCGTTGCATTGCTGAGGCTCTACGAGACATCCAACGCATACTTTTACAATAAGATTTGAGCCTTCAAGATATCCCCGGCATGCCTTCGTTACCTGATGACTCCATATTTGAACAATCACTCCCTTCAGCACATGTACAAGAAGCAACAACAGCCGCTGGCGGCATGACACCTGAAGAATTTGCAAGTCATGTTGATGCATTGAATACGGAGCTGCGACTCATCTTTGACACTATTGTGAATGCTGTGCAACACAATAGTGTTCAACAACGCTTATACTTTATCGATGGCCCTGGTGGTTCTGGAAAGACGTTTTTGTATAACACTTTACTCGCCTACATTCGCACACGACTCGACCAATCGGCAATTGCTGTGGCGTCCACGGGTGTGGCTGCACTTCTTTTGCTTGATGGTGCCACTGCACATTCGACCTTCAAGATCCCCGTGGAAAACTTGAATGAGATATCAACCTCCGCCATCTCGGTGCAAACGGAACGTGTACAACAACTCCGCAATGCCGCCTTGATCGTTTGGGATGAAGCACCCATGATGAATCGCTTTGCTGTTGAAGCCGTGGACCGCACATTGCGTGACATCATGAGTAGACATGATCCATTGCTCAATGATGTTCCCTTTGGTGGCAAAGTGGTTGTCTTTGGTGGTGATTTTCGCCAAACACTTCCTGTGGTAAAGGGTGGTACCCGTACACAGACCACTGCTGCAAGTATCTCCCGATCTTACCTTTGGCAGCATGTACAAGTATACCACCTCACTATCAACATGCGTCTCCAAAACCTCAACGACAATACTCAACACGGTCATCAACAACGCCAATTTGCTCAATACCTACTTGATATTGGTGATGGCCGTATCCCCACAAGTGAGTCATTTCGTTTTTCTATATTGAATGCATAAAACATCCTTACCAATTTTTTACTCTCATAGTTTCCCCTAATTCCGATTACATCCGCATTAATGGCGACATCCAATGTTTGGCTGGCTCCAACATTTATCACATGGTTGACACTATATACCCCCATCTTCGCACTACCGATGCTGCCAATGCTGCCCAACTTGCTCAAGCGGCCATTCTTACAACCACCAACAACTGCGTTTACCGCATTAATGCTGTTGCCACTGAAATGTTTCCTGGTGAAGCATATGACTATCTCAGTGCTGATAGTGTATGTGGTCTTTGGGGAAAAGAAGTTAAATCAAACACAGATAACAATAAAAGGAACCTTGTGAGAATGACGTTTATTCAAGAAAGCTATCTAATGGTCTTATATACTTTTGGATGAGACATGAGACATGTTTTATTATTATTGTGCCGAGGCACCGAGGGTATTAATGCGTGATTGTTTAAGACAATGTCTTTGTTTCATTGTATGTGAGTCAAGCAACCGATCAAGTAAGAGGTCTACCACAGTGTATCACCCACAAGCAATGATCAACATCAAGATATCCCTATTGAGTTTTTGAATACACTCAATCCTAGCGGTATTGTATCATTCTCATCATCACATGCATCTTCTATTAGCCATGTATTCATCACATCACTCACTTCTTCTCTCATTGGTTATTTTAGAATTGCCCGCCCATAAGCTGTCACTCAAGGAAAACATGCCGCTTATTCTCTTGCGCAACTTGCGCCCTGATCAAGGCCTGTGTAATGACACCAAACTCATATGCCGTGCCTTGCATCGATACTACATTGAAGCGGAGATCGCAACCCCTGGCCCTCATGCTGGTACCACTGTGCTGATTCCGAGATTGAAGCTTACTGCCAAAATCGAGGGTACCGCTATCGAATTATCTAGAAAACAGCTACCAGTGCGACCGGCCTTTGCCATGACCATCAACAAATCCCAAGGCCAAACACTCTCATAAGTTGGTGTTTAACTTCCTGCTCCAGTCTTTTCTCATAGCCAATTGTATGTCGCCTTCTCTCGCGTTACTGATTACCGTAACCTTCAAGTCATGGCCGAATTTGACGAGAATACACAATCCCACATCACCAAAAATGTTGTATACCCTGAAGTCCTCCGCATCTCAACATGATACCCTTAATCACCATGATACCCTTAATCACCATGATACCCTTAATCACCATGATACCCCTAATCACCATGATACCCCTAATCACCATGATACCTATTCCCAAAAGTACCCTTGCATGTATATTCTTTAACTCTCAGAAGCACACATAAAGTTGTTTGCGTAACACGCCCATATCTCAATTAATACTCAGTATGCATCTTTCTTTATGTAACCTTCCTAGCAACCAAACTATTCTTCCTTCTTTTTCCTTCTCTCTAGTGTTGCTCATACGATCCGGATACGGTGAACCTGATCTGAATCTGACCCAGAAATTCGGATGTGGATATGGCATTTTTATATACGACCGGTTTTGGGCCCAATCCGCGGATATCCTGTATCCGATAGCTTGCAATGGGGACATGATATATAGTACCTGAATAGATGAATAAACAACATGAGATACAAGGATACCTATTTATTGATATTACTGCCATGTTGCATCTGCATGAACCTTTTATAGCTTTCCGCAAGCGATGGTAGGTAGGCCAACCTATTTTCCAATATTGTCTAGAAACTAGAATGCATAAATCATTCTCTTCCTATCTATGATAGGAGATAGGCATAGGCTAGTACGTCACGTGGTTGCACTGCTATGGCGCGGTAGTTTTCATTGGTAATTAGAGCCTAATGTACAAATGCTGATAGCTGAATGTACAGTATTTTGCTTTTAGTTCAAGCGGTACCCGATAGGTGTGGGGCGGGGTTGGTAAATGGAGACATTGCTTTTCACAATTGGCGACCACTTTAGTAAATGCGAGCAATGCTTTCTTGCTTTCTATCCAAGGGACTTTCAATGATCATAAATGGGCTCTGTTTTCGTTTCGCAAATGGGAAGATTGCTTTTCGTGAATGAAACTATATCTTCTCTTCAATGGGAGTTGTTGCTATTCGTAAATGGCTGTTGCTTTTTGGACGAAGGGAAAGCTGCTTTTTGTAAATGAATGATAATTTTGATGAATAGGGACATTGCTTTGGTAGAAGCGCGAGTTACTTTTCATCGCATTCATGAAAATTATCATTCATTTACAAAAAGCAGCTTTCCTTTCGTCCAAAAAGCAACAACCATTTACGAATAGCAACAACTCCCATTGAAGAGAAGATATAGTTCATCCACGAAAAGCCATCTTCCCATTTGCGAAACGAAAACAGAGCCCATTTATGATCATTGATAGTCCCAGCCCACGCCCATCACCGGAACTGAAAGCAAAATCCTTGACATACTGTGTGCGAGCACACAACATTGAAGTCCGACTGCACGCAAATCTTACCCCAGCCACAAGCCAACGTACATGTCAAAGTGACTTTGCTTATATGCTCACATTTTTTGTACCTTGACACTCTCACTCAACCCTTGACACTCACACTCAACTCATCCTGCTTTCACAGTCGCCATGCCAAGATCCCGAACCCGATATCAACGCACCATTGAGGACGTCGCGAATGAATTGGTGACATTGGCGGATCGTGGTTTGTTTTCCTTCTCTTTGTTTTTTAAGATGTCCACTAACATTATAGTTCTGGTGCAGCTGTGCCGAGCGATCTTGTGGCCATAATGGCATCGTTGCATGCACGATTGGAACTCTCAATTGAGCATTGTCGTACTGGCGATCAGCGTTCGTATCGGTTGACCAAGCGTGGGACAACGGCTGCCGCTCAACTACCCTCTGTACGTGAGGAAAATGATAACGATGCAAGTGTTCCAGATAATAGCTATACATTGGGATCCTTGATTGGGATTTACAGCATTTACCATTGATCATCAAACAGATAATCAAGGCTCGAATATGGCTATGGGTGGTTCCACTGCCCCCAGCATGGATATGGATAGCAATGCGAGCGGCTCCGAAATTGTAACCGAAGATGAGAATGGTAATTGCAACGTAGCTCCATCTATATGCCTGCAGACGGATATATTCTAATACCATGATTATCCTATATACTTCAGCAAGCTCGCAAGTCCATGATGATGCCCCTGAGAAGCTGGATGCCATTACTGATGATGATGCTATTGGTACGTGTGACAACAGTATGCATATTCTATTAGTGGGGCAGGAGTGATCTGTTGTCGTAGTACTTTTCTAACATGGCTCAATATATTAGATGACCACGATCAAGCTATTGACGATTTGCCAAACCAAGACAATGAGAGTGTGGATGAAAACGTACGTAATTGCGGAATAGTTCACCATTCAATGGTTGCTTACATTTTGCCTTCGTTTTTCTGTTGCCAGCCAGTGAAAAGACGTCGCATTTGTGCTGCAGAGGCCACTGAAAGTATGCAGAATTATTCGCAATCGGTGCTATCAGGAAATGGTGCGAAAAACAACAAGGGTGGGGTGAAGCCAAAGCCTGTTCCTCAAAAAGTCTTCGATGCTTACCAGCAAGGTACTTGTGTATACCCATATACTGTATCATGATTGTCAAGGTGGTTTAATATTGTATCGGTATTATTGTAGCGTTGGCAGAAGTGCTCAATTTGGATGATGAAGATATCACGAAACGCTTGAATGATTATTTCGAGGAGAAGGATCTATCGCCCCGTTCGTTGCCACCATCTGCAAGCAAAACAGACAAGGATAATATGGATCTATTCAAGCATTTTGCAGCTTTTACAAAAGGACAACTGCATGCATTCAAAGGAAAAGTTTTGACCAACATGGGGGCCTATCGTTTCTATTGCAAAATGACAGAGATGCACGAAGCTGAGGATGAGGAGCACATTAGTATGAAGCAATATGCAGAGGATTACTGTAAAGAGTTTGGTAAGTAGCATTCATTTGATGGGACATTGTGCTTGGATACAAGCTTCTAATACCGCTTTATTAGGCGATGATGTGGATCATGTATACACCAAAATGCGTACTGCAATGAAGATTGGTGCTCGTCTCTGCCAACTTGTTGAAGTTGAATGGCGCGAACTTGTGATTTTCTTTCCTGAGGTTTCTGCCAAAAGTTTTACTGAAAAGGTATGCCGAACTTTATTATGTCTTATCAAAAAGTTCGCAAACCCATTGCTAACATTAACCATACATTACATCTTTTTACAGAAAAGTGAAGAATTTTGGGAGAGGGTACCACGTTTGATCTCGCTAGCTACTTCAACCATTCAAGGCGATGTTGCATATAAATGGTCCAGCATTTATAACAAGTATGAGGCCAACTTTGAATCCATGTTGACCATTCAAGATGTTACCGAGTAGCTATTTGTAGGATGAAATCTGATGATGTAAACAATCTTTGTGCCACATAAAACGTTATCCACATGTTTGAAAAGTAGACGGATATAGCACGCATTTCATGAATAGCAATGTTCCTCGTATTAATGGGTATCTTTAAAGTCCCGCGACTAGAACTAGTCTTGTATTTTCATTATTTTTGCGAGGCGAGCAGTGATGACTGAAAACTGAGATCTTGATATAAAATACTTTGGATTGTACACATGTGATATCCTGAAAGAGCTGTACTCTATAACATCTGTGTGAGCTATACGAAGTCATCTTTCGTGGTCGGACAATTGCTAGATTTGGCAAGTACTAGTTCTAGTCTTTTTTTACACGTACTTTTTCAAGACAAGGAATCATAATAACAGCGAGCAACTTGATTGTAAACATAGATCAACTTCTGTGTATTTTATTACGCTATGGTAACAAGCGCTTAGACGCTGTCATAATGTGGCCGAAGCATCCTTTGCAGACGGGTTTTTGGTTGCAAATGCACATTAGCCCGGTCTTAACCCCGCAATATTGGCACTTCAATTGTATATAGTAAGGCCTACCCTTCTTCATCATCCTTTTGCCCAAACCCACTGTGGTAGACGCCAATGTTACTAGTGTCGAGCTTTCTTTTTGGCGGATGTGACCGTAGCCAATAGCAACGACGTATGATAATAAAGAAGTATTTGTAACGTAAAGAGATGATGTTTATTCATATGGTGGAATGGGGATACTTATATAAGATGGCTATCTATGATGGTGTGGCGAAGTACTGCTGCGCCTGCTGCGCATGAGCTGCGGATGCTGAGTACAAGAAGTTGATGTTGTCAAAAGGAATATTGCTGCGCCAGCGCATAATACCCCGACAATACCCCCTCTCCAGATTATTGCACGTCCTCGTGCGTACTTGTAGCTTGAGCGAGACGTTGACGTTCTTGAGCACGTGAGGAAGCAGGATCATACCATGGTTCAGGAATTGGGTTCTTGACGTTAAGAGGCCTTAGACGATCAGTGTGGACCATGGATGTATAAACTTTGCCTTGCATGTCTTCGAGCTTGTATGTGTGGTATTCTTGATTCTTGCCAATGACGCGATACGGACCTTTCCAATTGTATTCAAGGCTAAGCTTGTTCTCATGTCGCATAGCAACGATGTCACCGATAGAAAAATCTTGTGGTTTCAGTAAAGCATCCCATCGTTGTTTATCAAGCTGTGCATTGCGTTGAAGTCGATCGATAGCCTTGTTGCGTGAATCACGTAAATTACGTAAATCAGGTAAACGAGAATCAGCAAGTGCTTGAGGATCATCGGATGGGTTTGAAAGGACCATTGGTTGCAAGGTATCACCAGGGAGAACGGGATCTTGACCATAAACCATGTAAAAAGGGCTAAGACCAGTGGTACGATGCTTGCGAATGCGACAGGCAAAAACAGTAGTATCCACAAATTCATCCCAGCGATGAATGGCACCATTGACATACTTGCGTAACATTTGCTTGAGGATTCCATTTGTGCGTTCAGCCTTGCCATTTGTACGTGGGTGAAAAGCCGATGTGCGCTTGTGTTGGATTTTCATGCGACCAAGATAAAGAGCGAGAATGTTGGAAAGAAAATTTGCACCACGATCCGTGACAATTTCATGTGGACAACCAAAACGCATAACGATCTCCTCGTGCATGAACTTCGAAATTGCTTCACCCGTGGCATCTGGCAAAGCACGTGCAATGGTCCAATTGGTAGTATAGTCAACCGCGACAAGAAGCCATCGATTGCCTTTGATGGTTTGTGGCAATTCACCAATGAAGTCCAGGTGCCAACGAGCAAAAGGAGCGGGAACATCCAATGGTTTCATAGGAGCATGATGCACATGACGATCAGCATTAGAAGCAAGTTGACATTGTGGGCATTCCTTGATCCATGTATTGATGTCATTTTGCATATCAGGCCACCAATAGCGCTTCTTGATCAAATCATACAATGTCTTGTTGCCAGGATGTCCAAAGCCGGTATGGAATTGTTGCACAAGATCAGCACGCCGAGCGAACAACACATAACGCACCTCGTTGGTTTGGCCTCCATTCTTGATGAGACGATAAACTTGATCATTGCGGGTCACAAAACGTTGTCGATGCTTTTGTAATAAATCCTTGTATAATGATGGCCATTGTTCTTCAGGCTTCGCATAAAACTTTGGCCAATCGGTTTCTTGAATAGCACGCACCGCATACAAGTATTCAGGCTCCATATCTTGTTCCGAAGTCTCGCATTCAGGACCATCACGACGTGAGAGCAAATCAGGCACATGGTTATCTCTCCCAGGCTTGTATTGAATATTGGGATCGTATAACTCCAACTCAGCAACCCAACGAGTGAGGCGTGGTGTAGGCTTGGTTTGCGTGCGGAAGTACTTCAAGGGGTGATGATCGGTGTATACAACATAGGGGCGACCATCAACGAAACAACGCCAAGATTTCAATGCATGCAAGATACCCAAAAGCTCTCGTTCTTGTGCTGGATAGTTACGTTCAGTGGGTGACAACTTCTTGGATTCAAACGCCACTGGATGCATGAGACCATCGTCGCCTTCTTGAAGCAATACAGCACCAACCCCAAAATCGGATGCATCCGTTTCGATGGTAAATGGCTTGTCTTGGTTGGGTGGCAACAAGATGGGTGCATCAGTCATGCGGGCTTTGATTTCTTCAAATGCGCTTTGACACGTAGGCGTCCACACAATTGCCCTTTTCTTTGCTCCTGTTCCTTGTGTCAAGTCTGTCAAAGGTGCGGCAATCGAAGCAAAGTTGCGAATGAACCGACGATAGTGCGACCCCAACCCAATGAATTGTGGTACTTCTTGCACATTCCTTGGTACTGGCCATTCTTGTATCGCCTTCACCTTCTGCACCGAAGGGCTTACTCCTTTCCCAGATACGCGAAAACCAACAAACTCCAGCTCAGTCTTGAAGAACTCGCACTTCTTCTTGTTGGCAATCAACTTGGCATCTTGAAGACGACGTAACACTTCACGCACATGGCGCTCATGTTCCTCCTTGGACTTGCTGTAAATGAGGATATCATCCAAATACACCAACGCATACTCATCAAGACAATCTCCTAGCACTGCATTCATCAAGCGTTGAAAAGTAGGTGGTGCATTTGTCAATCCAAAAGGTAGGACCAACCATTCCCAAGAGCCATATCGTGTATTGAATGCCGTCTTGTCAACATCCTCATCCCGAATCCTCACTTGATGATAGCCGCTTTTCAAGTCGATACTCGAGAAGTATTTGGCATCGCCTAAACGATCCAAACATTCATCGATGCGAGGTAATGGATGTGTGTTGCGTTTGGTGACTTGGTTGATTGCACGATAATCAATACACATTCTCATAGATCCATCCTTCTTGCGAACGAATAATACAGGTGCTCCCCATGGTGATGTGCTTGGTCGAATAAGTCGTAAGTCTTGCAGTTCCTTCAATTGCTTTCGCAATTCATCCAGCTCACGTGGACTCATCTTGTAAGGTGGTCGGCTAATGGGTGCAGCATCACCAGTATCGATTACATGAGACACATTGCGATCGGGTGGCAATCCTGGAAGCTTGTCTTGGAATACATCCTTGAACTCGACGATCAACGATTTGACTTTGGCATCCTCCACGTCCCCAGAATCTTCGGCCTCTGGACGAAGGTAACAAGCAAACATGTGTTCAATCTTCTTGTCACGCTGATATCGTTGTACTTGTCTAGCCGAAATGAGATATGCCAATTCTGGTACTTCGCGCTGGTGCTTAGGACGAATGGTGTATGTGATGCCAGCATCAACAATCTTCCAAGTGTCACGATCCCAATCAGGAATTGGCTTGTGCTGCTTGATCCAATCGCGCCCCAATATGAGATCGAACTTCGTATCCAAGACATAAGCAGTTACTTGATGTACAAATCCACCGGCATTCAATAGGAGGTTCACTCGTTCATCGATACGCATGCAATGACCACCAGCAGTTTCAACACTTCGACCTTCAACACGCTCTAGAGGCACACCTTGAACCAATAATGGCGATACGTATGTCGATGAAGCACCACTATCGAGCAAGATGTCGCAAGGATAACCATTGCATGTCATGGAATATAGCGGTAAATCGGTACTGGTTGTGGTGAAAAGCTTCTCCAGATGATTCATGTCATTTTCCAGGTTGCCCTCGTAAGGACGAAAAATGGCATCAAAGTCGGTATCGATATCGAGGAGGTGAGCAGTCGGTGGATCTTGTTTCATTGCGTGGACTTGATGGGCCGGTCTTGTAAAATCATGTGGGCAACCAGTTTCTTGCTTGTGGGATGGTTCTTCATATGTCATTCTTTGAAACGGTCGAAAACGGTAAGCATCAGGTAACGTGTCTAATGCGCAATCTCGTGCAAAATGTCCTTCGTTTCCACAGTTGTAGCAAATAACGGGCCTTCGTTCGATGTATTGTTGTCCATAGTATCTTGTATCGTGTCTCGAATAAAAATCGTGTCGCCTGTACATGGTGGATCGAAAAAGCATCAGCTACCAATTGTCGAGCTTTCTTTTTGGCGGATGTGACCGTAGCCAATAGCAACGACGTATGATAATAAAGAAGTATTTGTAACGTAAAGAGATGATGTTTATTCATATGGTGGAATGGGGATACTTATATAAGATGGCTATCTATGATGGTGTGGCGAAGTACTGCTGCGCCTGCTGCGCATGAGCTGCGGATGCTGAGTACAAGAAGTTGATGTTGTCAAAAGGAATATTGCTGCGCCAGCGCATAATACCCCGACACTAGGGTAATTACAGCGACTTGGGTTTGAGTTAGCTAATCGGTCGCTTGTCTCAGAACATACCCCTCTTGATATACATTTACTACTACAATAATACCCTCGATGAATAATTGCATGAATGAAACGCATGAAGATAATTGACACCAAACATGGGCACATCAATGATATTTAAATAGGATAATGGTTAGGTTAATAAACATCAGTTCCAAGATACTTCTTGTTTTCTTTTATTGTTTTGTGATTGCTATCTACTTGTGCCCCACATTTTTTGTCTTGAGTTTTGATTTACCTACCATGTCCAACAACGAGGAAACCCAAAACCAACTTCCTGTCAACGACAACAACCAACATCCTTCCGAGGATACGAACATGACCGAAGCTCCAGCTCCTCAGGGTATGGTCTCCAACAATGATCAACAGCAAGATGCCAATGGATCTTCTCCATGGGTTCCGGATTCCGGTGATGCTCTGAACGCTCAAGACTTACTTGCGAACTTGCGTCCTGGTGCTACTCGTGAAGAAGTGATGTCAACCTTGGAAGAACAAATTGCTAGATTGGATGCTACTCTTACCGATTTGGCTACTGGAGATAATCAAGAGCGATTCACCATGGTTACTCGCCGTCGTGATGCGCTCAATGAAAGACTCTCCACCTTGAGACGCATTAATCATCCTGATGATCCTGCCACGCCTACAAGAACCAATGCCGTGAGCAATCAGGATGCTTTGGTGCCACGTCAATTACCTGCTTTTCAATTTTACGGTGGTACTCGCCACGCTAAACAGAAGGCTCGCTTCGATTCAGCTCAATCTTTTCTTGAAGAGTTTCGTACTGTACTTGAAGGTCATAGCCTGGACATTGAGCAACATTGGCGCCGCCTTATGCCACTTACTGTTAACTCCAATAGTCGTGCTTGGTTACGCGATGTGATGGCTAAGGAAAGTGTTACCAATTGGGATACGTTTTGTAAAGAGATCATCAAGCAGTACTCACCTCCTTACACCATGTTTTATCGACGTTATCGTCTTCGTACCATGCGTCAAGGAGCTGAGGAATCCTTGAGACAATATTCAACCAAGTTTCAGGAATACGCCGTGAAGACCGGTATTGCCAACAATCAGGAGCTTGTGTTTAACTACTTGTGCTCGCTACATCGGCGCTATCGCAAGCGTTCTTGGACAGTCGTTCATAACCATTATGGCGAAAACATTCCTGATGAGCTCGAACCAATCGTGCAGCTGGTGATGACACTGGCTTCTGGCGAGAGGGCTCCTGAAGAAGAAGAGTTTTTTACTAGCGACTCCAGTGACTCCGATTCTAACCCTGAAACAAGTGACTCGGAGCATCGGCATAAACGCCGCAAGACATCCAACAAAGGAAAAGGAAAAGCCAAGCCCAACAAGAAGAAGAGTGGTAGTTGTCCCATTCATCCTGGGGCAAGCCATGATGAGGAAAATTGCAATGTCATCAAGAAGCTGGTTAATGGTGCTTTTAACACTCGTCAAGCCTCTTCTCAAGCTACTAGTTCACGTAGTACAGGCTACGCACCAAGGCCTTTTGCTTCCGCTCCCCGCATGCAGCCCGCATCTCGTTCCAACAATATGTGTTGGCATTGCCAAAGGGTCCCATTTGTGCCAGACCACGAGTGTCCGGAGATGCGCCAAGCTCGAGCACGTAGGGCTCAACGTATGGGTAACAACCATGTTCGATCGCGTATGGCTCACTTGAGTAACAACAATAATGATACTACGATGATGGCAATTGACGATGATCAACTCGATCATCAAGCTCAGGGTAAGAATAGTGCAAGCGCTCCAAAATCTTCCCATACTCACTCTATCTTGGTGCCAATCACCATACAGAATAGACAAGTCAAAGCCTTACTGGACACTGGAGCCGATCACTCCCTGATAGACTTAGAATTCGCTAAAGAAAATAAATGGATCATTAATCCTCATACTCATTCTGGTTCAATCATCATGTCAATGAAAGGGCATGTAGCCCAAAGATATGGATACATTAAAGATGTGAAATTACAATACATGAATTGTCAATACAATCATACATTTGAAGCTTTACCATTAGCAGAAAACATAAAAGTAACCATAGGTTTGGATCTGATGTCCAAGCTCGGTATCTCCATTCATGGGCTTGCAACCCAATGGAATACAGATGAGCGACAACCTAAAGTCAATCAAGAGAACTTGTTTGATATTCCAAAACCCAATAAATCACCTGCTGGAAGCAAATTGGAGCAAGAAAAGTTTCATGCCGCTATACAGCCCTACATTGATGAAAATGCACGTATACCTAAGACATCTTTTTGCACCGTTCCACAATCGGTAGTACGTTTAGAAACACATGAAAAAGTGACATCATACCGCCCTCAGTATCCTTTACCTGAGGCAGCTATGGATGAAGTTAAGAAAACGATCAACGAATGGTTAGCCGATGGTACCATAGAACGCGCGCCATCGTACTCTGCTTGGAATAGTCCTCTCACACTGGCACAGAAAAAGGATGCTGCTGGTGACAAGGTTAAGCTGCGCTTATGTCTTGATCCCCGGCACATAAACCAGCTACTGCCTGATAATCGATACCCTATTCCTGTCATTAAACAAATATTTCATACACTTAAAGGATCATCCGTGTTTACAACATTAGACTTGAAAAGTGCATTCCATCGCTTTATGATTCATCCCGATGATAGACATAAGCTACAATTTTCTATTCTAGGACAACAGTATCGATGGGTTGGCGCCCCATTTGGCCTTAAGGTCTTGCCAAGTATCTTCCAAGCTACCATGGGTACACTGTTTAATAATCTTTTTTTTGTACAATGCTTTATTGATGATATCATAATTTTCTCTAAGTCTATGCAGGAACATGTACAACACGTGCAACAGGTCATCCAAATCCTTACCGCATCCAACCTCATCCTTAATCCCGATAAATGCCATTTCGCTCAACAATCGGTCAACCTGCTTGGATTCTGTGTCTCCGCTAAAGGCATAGCCCTGGATGCTCGCAAGGTCTCAAATGTCTTGTCATGGCCTCATCCTAAATCAGGGAAAGACATTATGAAGTTTCTCGGCATTATCACTTACTTCCGTGAATGGATACCCAATGTGTCCCAGCTAACTGCTCCTTTGGATCGGCTCCGTTATGCTGACTCCTTGGACGGTCTATGGCATGATACATAAGAAAAAGCTTTCCAAACATTAAAAGACATCCTATTAAAAGCTCCCATTTTGCGATACCCTAACCTTGATCATCCTTTTTACGTGGCCACCGATGCCTCCAATGTCGGAATAGGTGCCGTCTTATACCAAGTGATTGATGGTGAAACTCGCCACATCTCATTTGTTGCTCGCCCTTAAACGCTGCTCAACGCAATTATACCACCACACGCAAAGAATTGCTTGCCGTTGTGTATGCCCTACAACAGTTCCATCAATACCTTTGGGGTCGTCATTTTACCCTTTATACCGACCACCGTGCATTGACCTACCTTCATACCCAACGCATTGCCAACTCCATGATGCTCAACTGGCTTGACATACTCCTTGCTTATGATTTTGAAGTCGTCCACCTTCCTGGTTTGGACAACACGCTTCCCGATGCACTGTCTCGTCTTTTTCCGGCTGATTCAACGCTGGCAGGGGATGAACATGACGAAGCTGCTGACCTTGTGCTGAAGAATAACTAGCGTAAAGTAAATAGAAGGAAAGAAAGTAATAAAAGGAGACGCGTTGAATCATCACGCCAAAAGAATGATATACGAGCAAAAGCCACACACTTAAATGAATTCCCGCCTTATGCAGACATGCTCACTCCACCACCCGAAGAACGCAATGCTCTCTTAGAACAGGCTCATGCATTCGGGCACTTTGGCGCTGAAGCAATAACTAAGTCTTTACATAGCGAAGGTATACACTGGAACTCGATGCAGAAAGAAGCCGTAGAGCTTGTACGCAAATGCCATGAGTGTCAAATTCATAATATCGTACGACATGGATACCATCCATTACGTCCTATTCATGCTTATATACCCGGTGATCAATGGGCGATAGACCTTGCAGGCCCATTCCACACCTCATATCTCGGTAATAGTTATATTCTAGTAATGGTCGACGTATGCACCCGCTTCTGCATTATACGTCCTATACCCGATAAGCAATCCGATACCATAGTAAGAGAACTCATTACCCAATTTTCTACATTCGGCTTTCCACGATACCTCCAAAGTGACAATGGAACCGAATTCGTTAATACCCTTATAAAGAAGCTTTCCGAAGCTGCCGGATTTGATCATCGTCTAACAACCCCTTACCATCCACGTGCCAATGGCGTCGCCGAACGCTACGTACAAACAACTGTGCGCACTTTGAAGAAATCTATCCATGGTGCCACCAAAGATTGGGACATCTTCATACCCGCTGTACAGCTAGCCATAAACGCGAAAATTACTAAACGTCATGATACCGCTCCTTTTAATTTAATGTTCGCACGCAAAGTTAATGCTTTTAGAGATTACAGAGATGAAAAAGGTTTAGAACCTATAACGTCTAAAGAATGGAAGAAAAGAATGAATGATATGGAAAGGATTGTATTTCCTGCTATAAGTGAAAGAGTCCAAGCCGTCATAAAAGCACAAAAAGATCAATTCGATCGTAAGCACTACCTTGTTGAATTCAAAGAGAATGATGTTGTAAATGTGAAAGTCCGTGACCGATCTGGTAAGCTCGATAGCACCAGCTATGACGGTCCTTATACCATTGTGCGACAAACCAAAGGAGGAACGTATGTACTTCGTAATGCTAATGGCGACATTGAACCTCGCAACTATCCACCATCCGTATTAAAATTGATATCCCATGATAATGTTATACCCTGCGACGAGCTTTATGTCATTGACAGAATCGTTGCACATAAAGAAATAAGACCTGGTGTCTATAAATACAAAGTACGATGGAAGGGATACAATGAAGATGATGATACCTGGGAACCTGAAGAGAACTTTACACAAAGGCAGACCATTCTTGATTATTGGAAACAGCTAGGCCAACAGCCTAAGTAATCAAATAACTTATACGTTTCCTTACACCTTAATTATATACCCGCCGAGACTATACCTAAGTAATCTACCACCCCTTCTTACATTGCTTGTACCTTTAGGTACATACACACGCGACCTGGCAGGGGATGATGTGGTAGACGCCAATGTTACTAGGGTAATTACAGCGACTTGGGTTTGAGTTAGCTAATCGGTCGCTTGTCTCAGAACATATCCCTCTTGATATACATTTACTACTACAATAATACCCTCGATGAGTAATTGCATGAATGAAACGCATGAAGATAATTGACACCAAACATGGGCACATCAATGATATTTAAATAGGATAATGGTTAGGTTAATAAACATCAGTTCCAAGATACTTCTTGTTTTCTTTTATTGTTTTGTGATTGCTATCTACTTGTGCCCCACACCCACAATCTTATGAGTATGCCCACGAGCGGTAACATTGCTTCTAGGGTTGTATGGCGCATACCCATTCACCAATTCGCTTGCTAATCGTTCCCGGAACTTATAATGGGTGATGCCACGAAGGTTTTCCGATCCAAATGCCCTCCATGCAAGAAATGCATTTGCCTCAGCAACTGCAAGGAAGAAAGCAAACGAGCGATGTTGCCAACTTTGGCTTCGAATGACATCATGGTACGAGGCCATGTTATCGCGAATGTTGTTGTTGATATCGATCGCGCCTTTTGCTGCATGATACTCATCGAAAACCACTGGTCGCTGGAAGGTTACTCTTCTGGATTGGTTGTTATCTTTCACAATATGCGACACAACGGAACCAGGAAGAGTGGTGCTGCATGTGCTGATAAGGCATTGCGGCTTTCGATCTCTCAAAGCGGCCACAAACATAGGCACATCATCGATGGTCTTGACTTTGCACACATGGGATCCATAAATTGAAGGCAAGTTGTCAATAATGTCACTAGGTACATTACGAGGCCAATACTTCCTTTTCTTCAATGCCAAGATGCTATACAAACCCTTCTTGCGCAAGGCTGCAACTGAAGCTGGTGAACCAAACCACGAATCGGCAACGATAGTCCTTCCAGTGGCGAACCATGGCTCCGTCAACCTAAGCATGCATCCTGGTACCAACCCAAGATTGGAGAACTTCTTCCCTTCTTGCTTCTTCTCACTGATATCCAATCTGAGCATGATGTTGGTGGATGCATCGGCAATGTTTTTGAATTCTTGCCCTACGGGATGGGGCTTTCCAATGATCTTTTTCACGTTAGGCATGCGAGATACCTTACCGAGCCATTGGTTCATCGACTCATCAATGGTCATCGTTCTACCAGGAATCATTGCTGTAACCAAGTTATCATTGTATGCATCAACGAATGCACGAATAGCCACTAAAGGATCACGCGAAGAACTGATTACATCAGGATGCTCTAACGTGTGTGCTTGCAAAATCGAATCAAAACGACGTTTAGGCATCCATCGACCAAAGTTGAGAGGTGACATCCTGAGGAATGTTGGGGTTGTCGACCAGTATTCAGCACGATCACTCAATGGGATTAGTACCATTGCCGTCCACAGACCAATCCAAAGCAAGTACTCGTCAATGGTCAACGTCTTCCAATATTGGATTGACATAGCAGCCGCATTTGCATTGATTGCATGAATTACATGCTCTCCGATATAGTCCATAGGAAGGAAGTGCTTGAACATATCAAGAGGTGTCTTGGAAGCGATATCATGAAGGGTGAGTTGCGGTTGCTGCATATAGCCGAGGTCAATAAATCGTCTATCGATTACTATCTCATCATCTCTCCATTGGTCAACATGCTCCTCATCCTCATTGTTGTCAACAGAATCATCATTATCATCCGCATCACTTTCACTGCTGCTGTCGCTTTCGTAGTCGACGAGGCCTTCAATTTCGGTTGTTTCAGGTTGTCCCTGAATATCCTCCATTGGTGTGGTGGTGGCGGTTGTGGCCGACTCGTCCTTCAAAGAGCCCAACTTGATTCTCACTGGCAATTCAGCAAATCCTTCCACGTCGATCACAGCCATCTTGGTACCATCGGTAGCGAATTCGACAGCAGTAATCATACCATACAAGCGCTCCTTGCTTGCTTTGGTTGTATGGTAGGTTTCAGCGAGCTCACGCGTAGCAAAAGCACGAGGCAAGAATGAGACTCGAATGCCAACAGTGAATTTGGAAAGGATCTTGACCATGTTTTTTATCAATTGAAAAAAGATATGAAGGAAGGCTATAGAGCAAGCGTCTGCAAGCGTGTATATTATTTAGAAGTGGCTTATTGAGATACTCTAATAAAAACGCCTATTCCCTTATAAGTTTCATGTGCAAACTGAATATAAAATCGTGACTAGTTCTAGTCGCAAACACTAGTTCTAGTGCTGTTATAATCTATTTATTAAGAATGAAAACGGTACCCCTTCTATAACTGCAATAAAGCAACATTCAGTGCTCCCACTCATTTCCCGAAAGTATATAGCACGTACCATTGAGTCTCATGTCATTGCTGTGCAAAGGGAGAATGCCTAGTAGCTTCGTACATGATGAACTCTGAAACACTTTGCATGTCTATGTTGCTTAATTAAGCTACACCCGCTTTTTATGATATATAGCGCAATGATACACTAAAAACCCTCCTTGGACACGTTTCTCTCTACTTTTCACGACTTTTTGATACTCAAAATGACACACTCTATTGGTGAATCTTCAGCGATGGCAGCTCGACGAAGGACGCGTGCTGAGTTTTTTGCAGATACCAATAATGACGATGACAATTATGTACTTGTAAGTTACGGATACCGAACGACTAAAATGAATCTCTATTTACTAAAATGTTTTATAAATGTAGCCAGGTGATAGCGTATCTGTAGCAACAGGATCGCAGCATCACGCACCTAGTGTGTCCACTGTGCCATCCTCAGTCCGTATAGGAATGAGCGCAATGTCAATGGGTGGTATGACAAGCAGTGGCTGCCCTGGAATTGACGATGAATATCGCCATACCCCTGATGGGAAGCTAATTTATGGCAACACGCTGGTGACTTTGGACTCGCGTCAAGGAAGGTCATGGTGCGTCCAAAAGAAGTATGCATTTTTTGGCACCGATCACAATGATGGAAAGAAGAAGGTCTTCTGCAATTTTACATTCGCTAGTGGGCGCAAATGTTTTCACAAGTTAGTCAGTCCTGATAAGTCTACAGGCAACATCAATCGTCACTTGGCAAATCATCACAAGGTTTATAAAGATAGCCCATCAAAAGGTGAAGAACCCATGCAGACACCTGGAGCACTTGAAAATTATTGGTCTACAAGTGATCTTGGGGATAGCGTCGTTAGCCAAAGGTTCCAGAATCCAATTCCGTTTACCAAGGAGCGGTTTAGAGAAAGCCTAGTTCGCTATATTGTCGAATCAGCAGCACCATTTTCTACAGTCACTCAGTCATCATTACAACAACTACTTTTCCTTGCACATGAAGCCCCCAGCCGCTCATCGCTTCTACTACCAAGTCGCTCTACCATAACCCGTGACATGAAGGAGCTGTATGACAAGTGCAAGATCCATATCGCTGAGGAACTTCAAAAACAAAACCATATTGCATATACGATCGATGGGTGGACGACTCCGTATATGAAAGCATCGTTTTTAGCAGTTACGGCGCACTGGATTGACGAAAATTGGAGGCAGCATGCAGTAACAATTGGGTTCGAGAAAATCACAGGTGCACATACAGGGCAAAACCTGGCACAAATCATGTATCGCATACTCGAGCAATATCAACTTACCAATACCCCATTCCATATCACCATGGACAATGCATCAAATATGGACAAACTTGCTGTTGTTTTGGAATCTCTACTACAATGTCCCTCAGTGTTCACGGCCAAATACAACCGCATTCATTGCATTGGCCATATTATCAACTTGGCGTCGCAGGCGGCATTAGAAACTATACGTGCTGAGTCCGATGTTGTGGAAGAAGATGAAGAGCTCTATGACAAAGCTGAAAACAATACTACGAGGTTAGAGTGTAAGTCTACATGTGCTTGCTTGCTTGTATGGCAAAAAAAAAACGCATCGCTTACATTCGGCTTCTTCCTACATTAGCTCCAGTAGATAGGTTGCGCCAAGGTATCATTAGGATACGTGGATCTCCTCAACGGCGGGAAACTTTCCACAATATGGTCAAGGCAGAGTGTGATGATGAGGCCAAGACGCACCCTGAATTGTTGCGTGATGTACGAGTGCGATGGAATTCAACATTGGCTATGCTCGATCGTGCCATTAGCTTGCGTAAAGCTTATGATGGTTTTTGTGAACTCCTAACTACGGACTTTGGCCGCAACCAACTTGATGATGACGACTGGCAACTCATTCGGTATACGAAGCGATACCTAGATTCGTTCAAAGAGTTCGCTGAACTTTTGTCTGGTGACACCTACCCTACAATCAACCTTGTTGTCCAAGCATACAATTGGCGCTTCAACCATTTGGACAAATTTCAGGTATGTATATTATCTAGCAGAGACCATAGATAGACATGCTAATATAACACCTTTAGATCACTCGAGCAGGAGAAGAAGAAGAGGAGGAGGAGAATCCTTTGCGTTCAATAATGGAAATCGATGAGCCAGTGTTTGACCCCCACGATATGCCATCTGATTTTGTGCATGCAACCTTTGATAAGGCCGCCAGAGCAAGCTTTCAAGTGCTTAAAAAGTATTATGCAGGAACAGACCAGCCTGTATTTGCAATTGCCATGGCAATGGATCCTACAAGCAAATATGAATGGTGGGGTACTGCACGTTGGCCAGAAGAGTGGATAATAACAGCAAAAAAACAAGTGCAAGATGCATGGGACACATGGAAAGATTCGCATCCATGACCGACCTCTGATCAGCATCATGTTCCACCACACCGAAACCAGCAACAAACACGTCGTCCATTGAAAATAAGAAGAATGCATCCTGAAAAGGCTCCAGCAGACGAGTTAACCAAGTACCTTGAGGAAGAGACTATTGACGAGTTTTCGGAGACAATTGCATCCTACTGGGCGAGACAAGGGCCAACGAGAGATCGTCTTGCAGCATTTGCAAGATGTTATTTGTCCATCCCTGCTACAAGTACACCATCGGAGAGGTGTTTTTCAAAAGCAAAGTTTTATATACCGCCGAGTCGCAATCGCCTTAACGACGACAATTTTTCCATGTCCATCTTACTCGATTCATTCCTTAAGTATCTAAATAATACATAATACACCACGGGAAAAATGGTCAGTGAATAACGTGGAAACAAGTGAAAACGCGTGATTTATCATGAATACACATGAATAAGCTTGAAAAAGCGTGAATCTGAAAATGGGATTCGTGAAATCACGTGAATGTCAGTGATAGAGAAGTGAAATACATGAAAACTCTTTAATCGCTAGTGAAAATGCTTTACATGCAAATTCACGAAATATGGATCGTGAAATAACTTGAGATAGAATTGAGGATGCAGTGAAAACACTTTAATACACATGAATGAAATTGAATCGATCAATGGGAAATAAGTCACTCTTCTATAGCTATACAAGGTAGTACCATGGGTATATCATTCTCGCTTCAAATATGGGTTGGGTCTCCTAAGCGGATATCATTTGGTATCATTCCTTGATAGACATAATAAAAGCGCTTAGCTCCGCTCCGTGTTGGTATGGTAGAGTGAATGTAGCCTGCAGGGCAGTCGATGTGCTCAACGTCAACAACATAGCGCTTGCATAGAGTCCCGTCGCTGTCATAGCCTTGAGTTCCCACTGGAATACCAGCACCATTCATGTCCACTTCTCTGTATATATCCACAAGCGCAAGCATTCTCTCTTGTCCTAGATCATGTAGAATACAATAAAACGTTTATCAGCAAAATAGACCGTGAGTGATTGTACCCAGTACTTTACTGTACCTTGGTATGTGTAGGCGAAGAATAGAATACATATGCCAAAATAAGTCTCCCAAACAAGATCATATGAAGCTCCTGGGTCAGCTCGGTTAACGTCAACGGGTATGCTCAATTTGACAAATGCCACCGGTTTCTTACGAGCCAGATGGGGATATGCCTTTGATCCATAAAATGTACCAGTGTCGGAATCGAAAGCTCCTTTCCAACAATGATCTTCGATTCGCGCAATGATGATATAGCATTTCTCACTTTCAAATGTCGTTTCCAATATTGCCGTAAATAGCGATCCAAATCCCATGCATCGAATTGTCCAACTTTCAATGATTCATCCCGTACAACGCACCATAAACGATGACTATCGGCCGTTCCTTGTGCATTGACGACGTCGTTGGTACCCATATCCGCCTCAGTAGTAGTAATAGTGTATGATCCAAGATTCCCATCATTCTCATCCTCCTGAGCTACGTCCCCAGCATGCATGTAGTGGTGATGAGCTGCAGTTGTACAAAGTTGATTTGAAGCATTGATAGCTGTTGCCGACTTGGACTTGATCCTTTGCTTATAAAATCCAATAATTCTCTCAATGGCTCTCGTGCTGTATCTTCTCATGGGTCCCAACATCTCAACGGCACGACCTACATGCTGCAAGTAATGGAAGACTGGTGTGTAGCGGTTCTGGAGGGACCGGGATGCATATTGGTGCCATGTGATGGCGCACCTACGTTGACGGAAAAGGAATCATGATCAGCATAATAATGAGTAACTAGTTTCATCACGTATGTTACCTTTTCATACGGTCGATATCATCTGAATCCAAGCATTGCTGTAAGGCCAACGAAGCGATAGTCACAACACACAAAATAGCATCCTTGGCCTCTTGTGGGGTACCATGGATATCCATTCGCTCGTATATGATTGTAGGTATCAAGTATAGTAAAACATCCAACCAATCAACTGCCCGCGCATTCTTTGAATGTCTAAAAATGTCTGTAGGATGATCATTAATGAAAGTTACAACGTGTAAGTCCATACCCGTTACATACCAGGTATATTCCCTTCAAAGCAAGGCGGAAGGCTGGTCTTTGACGCTGCATCACCGATTGATTTCAGAGCCACCTTGGGAAGTGTCAATGCAACGGTCTTATTTCACCCTAATTTATATTTTTCACTCAGCGCACTTTGACTCTCCCACTTTATATTTCCCACTGCAACAGCTTGCCGATCATCAACCCATCTCGCTCCCCATTCCCAATTCGACACCAATTGAGGTAGCATACAATATAGATCTACTCTCTGGCAACATGCTCATCTCTTCTTTTTTTTCGCCAATTAACCCAATCTCCAAAATCTACGTCGACATGGGTCTTCAACCTGCAGCCGATCTACCCAACTCGATCTTACAACAAACACGCTCATCTCGTTCCTCCATGTACTTGGCTCATTAGTAGGCTTGGTTATAGCTGACACACTTCAAATAAAAGAAAAGCTTTATTTGTCAATTACATAATGATACTGTTACGCTTTTTTAAATAAAGGCTCAGTGCTACAGAGGAAAAAACCTTTTTCTCCTGTGTTTACCTGTAACTATGCAACGCGAAGTTATTGATCTCACTGACAACCGCAATGACGAATCTGTTCCGAATGCCACGATCGTCGAGGGTGTTGACGAAACAAGTAACGCGAGCAGTGTAGAGTTGTTCGAAACAAAGCGTCAAGAGCTCCTATGTGATAAATGGAAAGAAATCGATGAAAAGGATTGTGTGCAGCAAGTGGAAAATATCTACGCATTGAAAGGAGTTGTATAGGTTGCCCATGATAAAGTCGACCATGTGGAATCTCGTGCTGGTATGTCAAAGATGGGTGTGGATATAGTCAAATGCATCATTCCGACATGCATTGATCATCGGGAAACGCTTTTTGCATAAATGCTGTACATCTAATTTCGAAATGCGAAGCCAAGAAAGGCAATTCTTCAGCACCAAGTGATAGGCCAGTGAAGCTCAACAAGTCAGGCCAACCAAGAAAGGCACGTGGACCTCCCAAGTATCCCCTCTTATGGAGCATCTACATGTATTGCCACAGAGCTGGTAAAAAGCAGCAAAAAGCGAAGAAAGATGGCGTGAAGAGAAGACGTGTGTTACGAAGCAGCAAGAAGAAAGGATGCAAGGCACGCCTTACGATCAAGTGCTTTGCTGGTAACCCATCCAAGGTATACTACAAGGTTACACGTGGCCATCGCAAGCACAAGCCAGGCACCATCTCTGATGTCAAGTTCATCAAGACGTCAAGTGAAATCAAGAATCGTATTACACGTATGCTGGAATCAGGTAAGTATTACAATGTGCGTCAGATCCAATCGGTATTGCAGCAGCAGCTATCCCTTCTCCCACGTCGCCATCGTGATCGACAAGTGCGCACTGAAGCCATTTACCATCTTTTTCGGAAATGGCGTGATGCACGTTCTCGCAAGGATGTGAGTGATTTCGCTTCTGTTAAGGGCTGGTTAACAGGCCTTGCGAGTAAGTCTTTTACTATTTGGCAGGGTACCCTTGGTGATGAGCCACCATATGCTTTTGGTTTTTGTTCTCCATGGCAAAGGGTGTTGCTTCAACAACAATCTTATTGGTCACTTGATGCCACTCACCACATGGGTGATTATGCAAATGCTGTTTTATTCACCATTGTGGTCCGTCATGCGGTTGCTGATCGAGGTGTGCCTGTAGCATACATGCTCACCAATGACCAATCAGCTGCTACATTGACTGAGTGGTTTAGATCACTTGCTGATATGGGAGCAAAGCCAACACGGATCACTATTGACCGTGATCTTGCTGAGCTGAAGGCCATTGAAGCAGTTTGGGGTGATTCATGCACCATCCAGCTGTGTCTTTGGCATGTTTAACGTGCTTGGATGACTCAGTTACAGAAGAAAGCTGTGGAAAGGGGAAGGAAGCGGATTCTGAAACCCGGTGATATGAGTATTATTCGGGATGCTATTAAAGCGATGACAAGGGCGGCGGATGAAGGTACCTTTATGGAATTATGGGAAACCATCAAACGCGACTGGGGTAATCGCCAAAAGGCATTTGTTGATTATTTCAACAGTACCTGGATAGCGAATGACCAGTATCGTCTTTGGGCTAGTTGTTTTCTGCCGGATACATATACGAATATGGAAACCAACAACTATGTCGAATCGTGGCATAACCAATTGAAGACGACGTACTTTAAGCGCAAACGTCCTCATCGGCTTGACTCAATCATCTACACTCTCGTACATGAGGCGGAATTTGATATCCTACGCCAAGTCGAGAGGCGTGCAGCGCAAAATGGTCGAATGACCAACCAGCAGCGTTATTATCGCATCCAAAAGCTTCTTGCTTATGAGATCTCAAAGGCGCAAATGCAAGAAATGATAAGCCCCACTGCTGATCCCAATATCTTCACGGTGGATAGCTTTCAACTTGATGTTGAGGATCTGTGTTACGAGGTAAACAACAAGAAACGCGTTTATTATAGTCATGTTGATTATGCTAAATATTATTCTCTTTTCCACAATAGCTGCATGTCCAGCCATCTACAAGTAACATCACTGCAGGAGATGAAGAAGAGCAAGATGATGACGATGATGATGGTGAAGATGATGACGACGATGATGATGGTGATGATGACGATGATGATGATGACGATGACGATGATGACGATGGTTTGGATGATGACAAATATGACGCCCGCCATGATACAGTTATTACATGCACATGTCCCCATTTCCAGTACCAGAAGCGTGCATGTAAGCACATGTTCCTCCTTGCAAGATGGCATGGCCAGTTGAATGTTCAGGGCAACCTTCGTCCACAAGCTGTGAATTACAATCCTGTTCCCATCCCTGATATCCGCCCACCAATTGATGAATCACCAAGTACCGCTACACCCACAACACAATCCCTTGAAACGTCCATCCTTTCTTCACCTACTACCTCCTCATTCCCTTTACCTTCATCTTCATCCCAATCCTCCCAAAGTCTAATCCGTGGTGTCAATGCATCTCTTGATGAAAACCCACGTGATAAAATCAAGGCCCAGTTACGAAAGCTTATGCGAACCCTGGAGCAATCCGATATACCACATGAACAAGATCCTTTCCTTTCCAACATTGCCAACCAGCTTGAAGAATGGGATAGGCGTCTCCAACAAGCTGCTGTCATTCATCCCAGTCGTAACTTCTCCCGCCAACCTCGATCAAGGCAGTAGATATAGAGAGCCGAATATCATATAAACGTATGCACATATATACTTTCCATAGCGCTGTAGCTTGTACCCAGGTTTATTCTTACATGGTGACCAGATAACTGCTACCCGATATCGATAGAGTTGTACATAACTATAACCAAGCCTACTAATGAGCCAAGTACATGGAGGAACGAGATGAGCATGCTTGTTGTAAGATCGAGTTGGGTAGATCGGCTGCAGGTTGAAGACCCATGTCGACGTAGATTTTGGAGATTGGGTTGATTGGCGAAAAAAAAGAGATGAGCATGTTGCCAGAGAGTAGATCTATATTGTATGCTACCTCAATTGGTGTCGAATTGGGAATGGGGAGCGAGATGGGTTGATGATCGGCAAGCTGTTGCAGTGGGTAATATAAAGTGGGAGAGTCAAAGTGCGCTGAGTGAAAAATATAAATTAGGGTGAAATAAGACCGTTGAGTGTCAATGCCGTTTCCTCTCTGTCACCGATAACCATATTCCATATTTGTTGGCAATGTTGGATCCAAATAAATGTAAGTCATCCAAGCCAAAGTAGTACGATCCATAGAATGCTTTGAGATGTGCAAATAAACTCGGCGTTTTCAGATTATGGCTCTAGATATCAGGTATAAGAAGGCTACTCCAGATTGGTTGTGCTGTCACTTAGAGCATCTCCATTTTGGAATGTTTCGGGGTCGCGCTCGATTGCATCATCAAGGTCGCCATGGTAATATTTCGAAAAACCAGCATTGGGACCAGGAGCCTTGATCCGTATGCCCTCCATTATACAAATCCGACATCCAAAAGGTGATACATGGCCATCATGGTGGCATAGTAGTGCTGCACCGGGAATATCTCCTGAAGCCATCACGACATGTGCTTTGGCATGTATAATCAATCCATCTTCTCCCTTGACATGCAAGCCTTCGGTTTCCAGTTCATGTAACTCAGCAAGCAATGGCGGAAGGAAAGCATCTGCATTTGATGACTTCACACTGGTCGGCAATATGGCAATCTGAATCATATTTTTATCTTGATAACTATAGGAGAAGGTCAGAACAGCATGATATTAAAATCATCTTCGAAGCACATTTACCGTTCACTCGGCGGATAATTGAGTACAACAGCATGGATCATAGTAAGTGATATGTTGGACATTTGAAACACTTTGAAGCCATCCACAAATAATGCAAGCGCCAAATCATATGGACCATCGAAAAGATGTTGCTGGTGTATACGCCAAGCCTCGCCATCAAAATAATCAGTCATCATGCCATCATTTGGCGCCTCACGTTGTGATCGATATAGGATCTTTTCCCTTGATGATACCCTCCCAAGTAGAACTGCAAGCTGATCTTTGAGCGGCAAATATTTCATCGTAGCTATTGGGCTTCCATTTGAATCGTATCGAGGAGCTTGGCACCGGGAGCAGGAAACCTCATCAGGGTCCATGAACACGCCGCAATTATTCTTGCATATATGAAGTCGTACAGGCTTTGCTGGATACTCTCTCTCCATAATTCGCTTTGTTTTATGCACTGACAGAAGTTGTGTGGATGCTACGATATCTCAGTATTGTTAGCTTGATTTCAAAGTATGAACATGACATAGTGTATATAGTATACTTACATTGACTTTGATTAGCTTGTTCATTGAAAAATCGTATGAAAGCTTCTTGTGCTTCTCTTGGTAGGCCGTATTGCTGTGACAAGCTGTAGTGCTCGATACTGATCCTTTCACTAGGGGTCATTGGCTGGGACGGCGGAACATTCAAGATCGTATGTGTGTCGTTGACAGCAATCGATGCATGTGACGTTTGGCTTTCCATATCAGATTCACTATCACCATCATCTTGAGAATTGCTGTCGTCTTCATGCTGGGCCTGGTGGAAGCTATCATCGTCATGCTGTGTCTCTGGGAAGTCGTCATCGTCATACTGTGTCTCTGCAAAGTTCTCACCCAACGTGTAGTCTACAAGGACTCGAGTTGGCCACCTTTCTTGCATATTTTGATATAGCAAAACCCTTTCCCGTTACCTTGTGTGGTCGTCATAGATCGGGTTGACATGTGGTCAACATTGAGAGCTTGTGGCTCCTCTTGGGAATCGACCATTGCTTCATCGTTGTCAGGTAGAGTTTGCTGTTGTAGATGTTGTTGTTGCTCTCTCGTGAACCTTTCGCGTTGTATGGAGTAGCAGTTTGGCCTGTGAATACGCAGTGTAGCGATGGTAAAGAAGTCGTTGCAATGTGGGCAGCGAGGCATGTTAACAAGTAAACGGAGAAGAGGAGAGGAGGTTACACAGTTTCGGGGCTGCATAAACCCATTTTCTTCCTCTTTCACACCGCGAATATGACACAATCGAATGACGAGGAACGAAGCCCACCACCTTCAGAGAATTCAACAAGACCCAGTGCAATCATGGACCCGTTACAATTGGTCTCATGGGTGGCCGACACTTTGCAGCAAATGAGGGACAATCAACAAACGACAATGGACGCCCTACAAAGTCGATCCCAAGTCACCGAGTCGAATGGTCCCAATGCTCGCACCTCCGAGGATCCAATGCCATCTCATTCTACGGCCATCCCACGCCCAACCAAACGAGACAATAACTCATCCCGTATCAAGATCAAAAGACCTGACAAGAAGGACCTTTACTCTTTCATTGATCCTCAGAATCGGCTTCAACCCATTGAACGCAACACCCTCTTAGACACTATCCTTTCTATCGCCAATGACGCGGTTAGGGACCACTCTGCACTTTGCGGCAACCGGTTCGAAACGACATGGGTGGGTACACCACACAACCACCGCGCCACTACTATCAAATTCTTTGAGAATACTGTATGGCGGCAAAAAGGAGTGGATATTTCTACAGCACAATGCAGCTGGTTCGCTACACATGTCTTAAGTGAGCGATGGGACAATCGTTTTCACCACAGGCGAAGGAAACGGTGAGTCTTTTGGTTATGGTATCACTAGTGAAAAGAGAAGCTCAACGTCACATCACAGTAACCTTGCTACACAAGGCGGTGGTGACAATAGCGGGTCAACTGGCACAAATCAATCAGGGAGGTGAGTATGAGAAGAAGTGTAACCCTGAAGATCCTTTTTTTAATGTCAAGCCAACCATGGATAGCTTTGTGGTCGAATCACCCAATGATGAAAGGTAAATCTTTTCATTCATCATATCACAGCATCATTTGAATTTCCTAACTTTATCTTATGTAAGGAGCGTGGTATCAAGTGGAGGTGTCAGCGACATGTTAGCAAGCAATGAGGTCCCTACAATCGTTGAACAGCACCCTCAATCCCCTTTGCACGATATGGCGAATAATGAAGTCCCTCAAGTTGAACAGAGCCCCCAATCCTCTTTGCAAGACATGGCGAATAATGAAGTCCCCCAAGTTGAACAGCACCATCGATCGCCTTTGCAGGACATGGCTAATAATGAAAAGAGGTATGTCATATTCTTGTTGTTGTCATACCTCGATGCTGATATGAATTTATTGCTTTATGAATGCCAGACCCACGAAGCGACGCAAGCAGGTAGTCCTGCAAATCGCATTACGTAGAAGTACGAGAAGCATCAACACACGTCCTAGTAACGAACGATGATCATAGTTATGAACATGTCCGTGGCTGCAGTGACATCTCATCATTATCCACATATCACATTCCTGTAGTTTATAGTTCAAGAATACCTTTATTGCACCATTGTACGCTTTCGCGTAATAAAAAAAAGATACCTGTGTTTCGGTAATCAATGCATGATATTAGCAATCAACTAATACAACCTAAATGACCCAACTTTAACCAATGGTATTATAAAGAGGATTTGTGTGAATGATATCACCCAAATGTCACCGCTATAACCCAAAAACATCCTTACGACTATACACCATAAAACATGCAGCTTAAATAACCTTACAGCACTAATACACTGCTTTTCGTATGCTCCTTGTCATTACAATCCTTCAATGAAGCCGTTGGATGCGTCATTGAAGCAAGTGGCTATGATTAAACAAACTCCGCCAGTGACAGAAACAGTGGAATTCTCGAGATTTTGTATATGCAACGTGGGCATCTAACCTTCCCAATCGCAATATTTTGCGATCCAATACGGTAATCACGTGTGTGCTCGGATGATAGAGGGGTTGTGGGTGCTCACTGTAAAAGTGTGGCAGGGTCTGACACTGGCACAGGCTGTATAACCCAATAGAATATCTGCCACTTGTTAACTCCGATTGACCGGACTCTCAGTGTACTCACCCATTGCATGGTCTATGATGACATGACTACATGAGGATATGATGGTTGACTGATGGGATGGCCACCAATGTATACCCTTTCCCACTACATTATCCATTATCATCGATGCATGGTGTGGTGTATACAGTGAATATTATGATAAGCATGGATTAATAGTTGGCAAAGCACGTGATTAAAAGTGAACCACACGTAAATGACACATGAAAAGAGACGTGACTAAAAGTGAACCACACGTAACTGAGACATGAAAAGAGACGTGATTAAAAGTGAACCACACATGAATGTGACATGAAAAGAAGTGAAAGCCCTTGATTTTTCGTGAAAAAACGTAAGACGTGAAAAAACATGAAAATGGCCAATTCACGTTTTTTCACGTCTCGGATTCATGTTTTTTTCACGTTTTTTTCACTGATATTCATGCCCCACAATCCCTGTGGTGATAGCTCAACGGTTCAGCATGCTTGCTGTATCCCAATCATCCATCTTTAATACACATCATTGTCTTTGTAACATATCGAAAGTTGAGCTTATTTAGTTTTATCTTTTGTATGCAATCTAGATGCTTTTAGATAATAGTATGTGCATGCCATATAGCAACGTAGATGTAATATTATGGTGATGGATATGACTAGTACACGAAAATATACGACTAGGACACGAGAATATACGACTAGGACACGAAAGTGCATACCAGCAGTTGTAGTTTGTGTGCTCGTACACAGCCTATGTTACACATGAAGGGCCACCACCTGTGATACGGTTGCAATCCGGATCGGAACCGAAGCTGCAAGTGACCCGATCCAATCTGCCAGGTTCGGATTGAAAAATACTTACCCGACTAAAATCGGATCGGTTGCGGATACATAGCTAACCCGACCCGATCCGTACTTTGAGCATCGCTACTTCTCTCGCATTCTTTTTTCATGCTTCACTACTGCCATCTAACAACGCACATGCCTACAATGTCGAATGTCGAAAACCACTTCCATCACGTACCAACAATGTCGAACACCGGAATGGACTTGCAGCACGTACCAGCTCACTGTGGTTGTGGTTTACCCGCATACAGGATTTCCAAGATGAACAGGAACATGAGGATAATGATTTCGTGGTTGAGGTATATGGTTTCGTGGATGATGATGTTTTTTTCATGCATAATGATATATGAGTTCGTGGGTGATGGTTTTGGTTTCGTGGGCTACGCTTTTGCTTTCGTGGGTGATGGTATTAACTTCGTGGGTAGCGCTTTTTATTTCGTACTCAGATTCATATGGTTTACTGCTCGCGGATATTGGTTTCGTGGAGGATCATTCAATTTTCGCGCAGGATCATTTAATTTTCGCGGGTTGAGGGAAATGGTTCGTGGAGGAGTCTCTTAACAATGGGGGGCCAGCGAGCTGTACTCGACCTTTTTTGTATGAAAACCTCTCTTCGCCTTCCCCATTGTTAAAAGACTCCTCTACGAACCATTTCCCTCAACCCGCGAAAATTAAATGATCCTGCGCGAAAATTAAATGATCCTCCACGAAACCAATATCCGCGAGCGCTAAACCATATGAATCTGAGTACGAAATAAAAAGCGCTACCCACGAAGTTAATACCATCACCCACGAAAGCAAAAGCGTAGCCCACGTAACGCAAAAACTGAATTTTGTGGCCAAGTTTAGCGGCAATTAAATTACCTGGCAGGTCAAAGTGGCCAAGTGCCCCAGCTTACGCTGCTCCACCCGCTTTCTTTTACACCATTCAACCCCTGTTGCGCACAAGTACATTCCTCCCAGCAATGGCAACCAACAGCATGCTTTAGATGAGCTACTCAAGGCGTACATGTCAAGAGATCCGTCATCCGAAAGGTACACCATGGGAAAGGGGAAAGCCAAAACCTGACGAAAAAATGTCCAAAACGCTGAGATTGGCAAAAGTTGGCGAAATGCATTTTTTCGCTATATTTTAGACAGGGAGCTTTAGTCTGATTTTCGCGAGAATTTGGGTACGTTTTAGCATTATAATGGATAGGTTTTAGCAAGGTTATGGTCATCATGGCCTCATGTGTTTTTGCTGGTATATACATTTATTGTCACTGTTTTCTTTTCCTTCCTTTACGACTCGTGCTACTATCTGCGTGATTGATTAGTATCAGCTACGAGGCAAGTTTTTCTACAAGCGTGTCCTATCATGCTTACTTGCCTTCATCTTCTTGATTTTGGGTTTGTTTTTTTTTTGGAACGTGTGGTGGTGGTGGTGGTGGAGGCATTGCTGGTTCGTTGCTTTTTTTGTGTCTGGGCGGGTGGTTGCTCTAAAATAGTAGAAGCCTGTAGTCAGCGTATGATTCCCAAGTATGAGTATTCCATAAAAGACTTACGCGCGGTGACTTCATCCATTTCCAATGACATGGTTCTTGACAAAGCAGGTGATGATGGTGGTGGTGGCATGAGAGTGTGGTCATTGTTGGTTGCTGGTGCGGTGGGCTGGTCAGAAGATTGATACATGTTGGTTGGCATGGTTGTCATGTTGTTGGTTGGCATGATGGCAATGTTGGTGGGCATGTTGGTTGGCATGGTGGGTGTTACTGGATATGGATACGGGCCCATTGATGGCGCGGCAGGGATAGCAGGTGGATACATATTCATTTGTGGGGTGGAAGCAGGAAAAGATGGATGTGTACTCGATGATGGCATGAATTGGAACATTGAAGCAGATGAAGATGGCGAGTGTTGGGCATGGACATGGAAGCTGGTTGATGCAGTAGGCGTGGATGCAGGTTGTAAAGAGACTTGACGGACTTGGCTGGCTACTTCGCTGGTTTGGCTCCGCATCATACTACAAGTAGAACGTATCCTTTATTAGCCAATGTTCGCATGTAACTTCGTTATAATATTACCTGGTAACGGATGAAGAGTTGTCTGCATTGTCATTTTGTGTATTGTCATCTTGTGTATTGTCATTTCCTATACGATAAAGTGACTGTTAGTTTAACTTGCCGTCGACAAACAACATGTCCAATTCACCTTCTTTCTTGGCTTGATGATAGCGTTTGTTTTTTTAGCCTATTAAGTTCCTTCATCAACAGCTCCTTTACAGGTACAGATGCTTGAAACAATTCGAACGGAAAGATGTTTGAGCAGTATAATTCAAAATCGCGTATAGCTTTTGTTCGTTTTTCTACATCGAGATCGGGCCAATTGGTGTCGAGATCAGCTTTACAATCGTGTTGGAGTTGTAGTGCTACTTGCAATAAGAAATCTTTTGCTTCTACTAGGTATTGTTGTTGCTTTAGTGGTGGCCAATGCTCTTTGAATCCAGAATCATTCACACGCTTTTCAAGGTATTTCCAAACTTTCTTGAGTGAGTTGGGGATATCGTCGCTCGCAACAACAAGGCTTCTGTGGAAATTCCTGTATACTGGGTGTCCATCCATGTTTGCATACTGTCCTTGTTTAATGGGTTGACTGTTGTTACTACGAGGAATAAGGGATGTGATGGATGTGATGTACTGCAATTTGTTTTCTACACCCGTCAATGTATCCTTGGTTGCGGTTTGCTCTGTTGCCAGCTGTTCGACATGGTCCTTCATCACCTGGATACCCGACGCGGTACTTGCTTTAAAAGCATCCACACTTTGTTTCAGTCCAGAAACTTCTTCACGAAGGTCTCTCATTGCTCTTACGGTCTCCCTCATCTCCTGTCGTATTTCAGTGCATTGGCCGAAGAAAGCTTGCATTACGTTAAAGATGTCATTTGGCGCGTCCATTTCGTTGTTGTTGTTGCTGTTGGGAAGAAGAGCGAAAAAAATTTTACTGTGTCACCTCCCCTTGTTCAAGTCGCTTGAGATGATGCAACGTCGTGAGATGCACACGTCAACAAGTAACACACTCGAGCAATCATCACGCATACGGCATTAGAATAGGATCCGTAATTTTATACATATACAGAACTACACACGATTCCTCATACAAAGTGAAGTTGAGAATTGGGGGATTGCATGGGATTGGTGCCTGACAGTATAAGGTTGATTATTATTATATATTACAAATGATCCAAATTGGACCCAAAAATACTCTTTCATTCTCTTCCTGTATCTGCTGGTCAACTATTACATCCTTTGCTTAAACATTTCTATATCACCATATTTTCGCTTTATCAATGTCAACAAGGCCAAAAATCCAAAAGGGTCCGTTCTGCCATTATCGCATCAGTACAGCAGTCGTGTCTTTCGATCAGCATAAATTCGAATGTTTCAGATCAATGCACATGCACGGGTTGCAGGAACAACCAGCAAGTACGACCCCGAAAGCTGAAACCGATGGTGTAAGAGTATGACAGGAAGAAAAAATCACTTGTAGAATGCTCATGAAATACATCTACCAGGACCTAACAACGATGGAGGAAAATTGGATGGATGGTGGATCGTTCAATGGCGGCAGCGTCATAAGCGGAGGAGATGCGGATATGGATGTGGATATGGAGATTGATGATGTAGATGGATCAAATCCACACGATGTCGCTCAAGATGATAACGAGACAATCGAAAGGAATGATGGTGAAACCGATAACGAGAGTTCCAATGAGAGCAACTCATCCCAGAGCGATGATAGTGAGGAAGAAGATGGCATCCATGAATACACATTGCCAGCATACTTGAACCCTGATCTTGTCAATGATCATCCCCACGAGCATTCTCCTCAACCTCAACTATCGACTTTGCAGCCTTTGGATTCGAACATGCATAATCCGCTACCCGTATACTTTGACTGTAACATGGATGATTACCGCATTGATGAGCCACATGTCAAAGCTAGCGTTGATTTATACCGATATTTCGTTGAGCATGGTGCACCTAGAGCACTCTATGAGAGTGTCATCGAACGTGTCAATACGTATATTGGGGACCGAGCAACGCACCTCTGTAGCCACTATTTGGCAGGCAAGCATTTGGAAAGAAGCTATCCCATTTTACCTAATACGTATGATATGTGCGTAAAAGGATGCTACATGTTCAGCAGCGACGATGATCATGGACGCGACCGTTGTCCATATTGCCGTACGGAACGATTGAATCCAAAAGGAGCACCATTAAGAACAATCAAGCAGTTGTCTTTGTCCGCACAGCTAGCACTTTTGGTGAGAAACAAGACGACGCGTGAACAGCTAAAATACCCGTTGACTCACGAGAAACCAGAAGATGATGATAGTGAACGAATGGACGACGTATTCGATTCACAGCTGTTTCAAAAAGTATAAAGAGTGCTTGCTGATGACAACTGCCTTAACATCTACCTTGGCCTTTTCACTGATGATTTCCAACCTTTTCGGCGTGGCAAAAGCGTGTCTATGACCCTTTTACACATGTTGGTTTTGAACTTCGATCCTTCTTTTCGCACTGAACAAAAAAACATGCTTCAAATAGCTGTTGTCTCTGGTCCAAAGACTGAAGATTTAGAAAGCTTTATGAAACCTTTGTTAGATGATATGAAAAGGTTATCTACCTCTGGGATTGCTGTCAGGTTGGATGATGGTAGTATCCTCAAGGTATGTTGTAAAGGTCCTCACGATTGATCCTATAACACTAATATCGCCACTGAAGGTTAACGCACATCTCCTTTTTGGTGGTGGTGACATCCCTGCAGTCGCCAAAGTCGCTGGTGTGAGCTCCCATAATGCTTCATGTGGATGTCGCTTCTGCACAATTGTTGGACAAGTGGTGGATAGGACGATGACATTTGTGTCTGAAGAACCAAGTGAAAGACCTCGATTAAGAGAAGCCGCAAGTTTCAAAAGGATTGATCTTGATGCTGGGCAAAAGAAAGTGACGCAGTTTGGTGACCTACTATCCTTTCATGGAGCATCCTTCTTCCCCGTGGATATTATGCACATGCTCGGATTGGGTATCGCAAAGCAATTTTGGACGTTGATCTCTACAAACAAATATGACACAACACATGACAACAATCCACTTGCTCTTCCACCATCTGATCTGAAAGCTATCGGCCGTGAGATTGCTAATTCACGCCCCCTCTCACCTGATTTTGCTGGCGATTGTGGTGATGTTTACAAGCGTGGCGGATGTTACAGAGCCGTTGACTGGTTGCATTTCATGTTATACCTGGTTCCTACAATCGTCATTCGGTATTTCGATGACAGGGAATGTAGAGGTGCAATATTGGATCTAGTCAACGTCTTCAGTATTGCTTGTAGCCGTGAACTCCATAAGGCCGAGCTGGATAGATTCGATGCATCTGTGAATGCATGGCTAAAATGGTTAAGAAAACAAGTGGACGACAAGCAAATCAATGGCACAGTCTTCACTATCAATCAGCATTACTTGACAGACTTACACAGCCTTGCAAAGCACCTGGGTCCTCTACCTTTTTACGCTGCATTTGGAATGGAACGAGCCATTGGAGATATAAAACGACATATCAATTCTGAACGCGATCCTGGCACAAATGCCTCCAACGTCATGGTCCACCTTGCTGCTATTCGTAGCTTACAACGTTTAGATGTTGAGCAAGCTTGTCGACGTACTCCACGAGTCTACAGCGACTCACCTGAAACCGACGGCGATGCCGATTATGACATGGATGATGATGACATGGAAAGGTGTGAACTTTGGGGCCCTTTTTCCAAGAAGCGAGTGGGAGACTTCGAGTTTGCCAAGGAACTACGAGATTTTTGGCGTATCCGAAACAGTGATAGACATTTGGAGCTCGATCCAGAAGGTAAAATCATTCTTGGCAGGCGGTTTTGGTCAAGCGGATTGGTATTCGGAAGATCAGCATCTGGTGATAATGCCAAAGGCACGTTCGTTATGATGATTGTTCGTGTACAAACAAACCACTCTCATGGTCCAGCCACAAGGAACACATTACATCGATACATTGGCCAGCTTCATGCTCTATTTCGGCATCGACTAAATGACAACAGTGACAGCAGCTCGCATGATGATCTATCTGACGACAGTGATACCAGCTCGGATAATGATAGCGGCGAAGTTAGATTGCTCGCAGCAGTGACAGTATACCCATTGTCATTCGATGCTGAATGCCCATTCCCTTACATAACTAGATCAGCGGTTGGAAAGCGCAAGGTGTTCAGAGCAAGGGACCTTCATTGCTTTGTTGGACAAGCCATCACAGAGAACAATCGCACGTACATGTTTTGGTCTAATGACAACGGTTGCCATAGGTTACGAATGCCACTATCCTCCATCCCCTTCGACAACAGTCTTAGACACCTGTATTCTTTTAGATAATATCAAGTTGATGGTTTTTTATCATACACATTGTGTAACAGCGTCGACTATGATTGGATAGATTCTCGCTCTCTTTTCGCTTGCTTTTAGACATCTTTATTGCTTACTTTTCGACATCTTTTGGCATACTCCCTTTTTGGAATATTGGATAGTGTGGTGGTTCAGGCACTACATCTCCGACGTGCTTGGTATAGGTGTA